TTAATATTATAAAAATATACTTGTGCTATAAAATCATACAATTAAGATAAGATCGATATAAATAATTAATAAAAAGATTCTTTTTTTTTTTAATTACCGACCAATTGATTATGCTAATTTTTCTTATTTCTTGTTTTTTGTTTCCACATACACAATTAGCGAGTTAATCCAATCAAATGGAATGAAAGCTATTTTCCTTCTCTCTCTCTCTCTTTCTCTCTTTCTTTATCTTTTTTTCTACTTTCTTCGTTATCAGAACGTATAAACGAATATAAAACGCATGCGCCGAGCTTTCGGTGAATCGGACAATTGGCAGGAATCACACTCGACCGCTTTCACGATTATACTCGCGAGGGCGAACGATCGATTCACCGGTTGAGAAATGGCTTAAGGACGTAACGAGTGGGAAGAAAGGCCAACGATAAAAAAAAAAAATAAAGAAAAAAAGCCGCTTGGTCTATCTCTTTCTCTCTCACTCTCGTTCGTTCGTTCGTTCGGTCGTTCATTCGTTCTCACGCATTGGCTGACCATCGCTCGACCTTTTCCACTTCGATGAACGACCTGACCCTCTTAAAACGATTACGAGCCCTCGTTTCTATGATTCCATCCCTTTTTCCAACCCTTGTTTATTTTTTCTTTCAATCTTTCTTAAAAATTTACAACAATGATCGATCCACTTAATCTTAATTTTAAATCTAACAGAAATAAATCACGTTTGTGTGTTTGTGTGTTTGTTTGTTTGCTTGTTTTCTTTTTTATTTTCTCTTTTTGTAATTTGAATCTCTCAATATTGAACGTTATTTTATTGTTTCTTTTTTTCTTTCGTCAGGTTATTTTAAATATTATCAAATCGATCTGTAAATCTGTATTTTAGATTGAATCGAAATGGATTGTATTTTTTTATTTATTTCGAGAAAAAAAAATGAGAAAGAGAGAAAACATTGAAAGGTTCGATTATAATTTTAAGTTATCTTTTATTAATACCTTTTTTGTTTTTCAATCTTGATTTATAACAAATTCTTTTTATAATTTATATTCAAAATGTTTCATTATTAATTTAAAATCGTCAAATATTAATTATATAATATATTTTTAATTTATTCTATTCGCGCGAAAGTAGATAAAAAAAAAAATAGATTTATCCTTTACATTTTACATTCTTTTATTTTTCCCCTTTCAAAATCTAGAAACGTTGATTTCATATGAAATTCAATTTCCTTTATATTGTTGTTTCTTTTTTTAAAAAAAAAGAAAAACCATTTCCAACCTGCGTATACATTTTTAGTATTATTCTTTTCTCTCTACAAATCGAATACATTTGTAAGCCCAATCTCGAATTTTTTGCCTTTCCCCCTTCCACAAGGTATTAAAACCCCATAGGACGTGATACCGGGCAAACAAAGATTTAATTTTTCACGTTTCACCGTGGCCATTTGTGCGAGAGCATAAAATTTTCCAGGAAATTCATGGAAGTAATTTACATGGGAAATGTTGCCTCTCACGAATAGTAGATAGTGGTAAAAGGAATAGGATAGAAGAGAGGCAAACTATGCATGCATCTTAGTAAGTGCAACTACTGTTGAGTCTACTTCAAATTTTAACTTGAAGCTTTCTTCGTTCGAAAATGAAATATATCCTCGTTTAAAAGAACTTTTCTCATATATGCCTTACGCAAATAAAAGATCATCATATATATATACAAATATTTTCTATATGCATACTTTTATCTAAATCAAATTATTATTAACTTTTGACATAGATATTTATATGTTTTAGTACGCATCTAAATCGTGAATATATTTTATATATGTACATAAATTTATTATTTCCTTTTGACAAACGCGATTCATAATTTAAAGAAACCATTTCCAAGAGAAAAATATAAGATAGTTTAATAACTTGGATCAGTATTTTCAATAAATCAACGATATTTATAATCAAATAATATTAATTCTCATTTTTTGAATACGCGAAAGAGAGAAAATTTATTCATTAACACTTAAAAATTATCAGGTTACGTTGAAAAATATAAAAATGAATATGACTGAAAAGAAAAAATTGTTTCTATGTCAGGTTCAATCAATTTGAACTAACCCACGTATACTGATCATTTATTTAACAAATTATTTTATATTTTTTAATCACAATCAATATGAAAAAGAGACACGAGAAATAAAATAGAAATAAAATAATAAAAATGTCATCCACATGAACGAAAACAATTTGATTTATCAGTTCAATTTCTTCATCCATGCATTCATGCATACATAATATCATAGTACTATAAAATACTGACCATTAAATTATGCGCCTTCTTACATTTCTTATTTTACATTCATTCATAGGAAAATATTTTTCTTCTTCTTCTTCTTCTCTCTTTCTCTCATTTTAGTTAATTTACTTACAATAAAAGATATTTCTCATTTAATTTCATTATTTGTGAGAATGAGAGAAAAACAAATTAGTGAAATGAAGGGATAAAGGAGAACAATTCACCTTGTACGTGTTCAAGGAAAAACTACGAATAAAAAGAGAATGAGAAAAAGGAAAAGAGAAAGAATTTCTTTATCCATGAAACAAAACGAAATGTAGTAGCATCTTGTTTACCTTTAATCTTGCTGGGTAGTTAACGTTAACGAAAGGCACACAATTTCCTCTCCGTTACTTCTTTAGTTGCATCATTTTTGCAGATTTTCCCTTGGAGATGATTTTTTCATTCTTCTTTTTTGTATTACGGATATTTTATTTTATTTTTTTTTTTTTTTTATATATAAATTGTAAAACAAAAATAGAAAAAAATTATTTACGATATATATATATATGGTAAATTCGATTTAAAATATGCATCACGTTTAGATCGTTCAATGAATTAAACTACGGCAAAATAAAAACGATGATTGATGCCAATTGTCGCATAACAATGCCAGAAATAGCTGAAAAGTTGAATTTATCAAATTTGACAATTAACCATCATTTTCAATAGATTAAATTAAAAATATGAAAAAGAAAAATCATCTTTTATATTCACCACTGGAAAACAAAATAAAATAAAATAAAATTATTTTCCTAGCAACTTATAATACATACGATGAAGCATGAATATACAATAATATTGAGTATTGGCGTTCTTACAAGAAAAATATAATTCGAGAACACGTCACACGCCATTTATATTATACATAATAGTATTAATAAAATAGTCCGAAGAGTAAAAGGAAGGAAAGAAGGAAGGAAGGAAGAAATAAAAAAAGAAAAGGGAAAAAAGCACTCATGTAAAGTATAAAATAAAGAAAGAAATCAAATAAAAATGCACGCGAAGACTTTTACTTTATACGCACATATATACGATGGATTACATTTCGACAAACATTTATCTCCTTTCATCTTTATCTTTCCCACATATATTTTGATTCGTTTTACAAATAATAATATATATTAGAGTAAACGTTGAAAGTTTTATGCTGGTAGGTATGTTATTAGTACAAATATTGAATCGTGAAAACGTAAGAGAATCCTTTTTCCTTCATTTTTTTTTTTCTTTTTTTTTTAAATCTATAACACATCTTTCCTATTCCTTTTCTTTCCCCTTTCATTTTCTTTCCCATTGCTGTTGTTATCGTCATTCGATATATTATTTCAATGTTTCTCACGATAAAACGTTCGTAGAAAGAGGAAAATATTTTTCGTTGATAAGACGTTAACGTAAAAGAGGTTTGCATTGCTTAGTTTAAAGTTACATGCTTCGACTTTACATGAAAAATACTTTTCTTAAACGAAATTGAGAAGATAGTAAAAAGGGACCGAACAAAGTTGCCCGACTTGTGTGGTAGAAAATCGATAGAGAAGAATTTTGTCGTTGAAAGGATAGGAAAGCAAGCAGAGGGTGGAGAAGGATAAGGAGAGAAATAAAGTAAAAAAAGAAAGAGGGAGAGAGAAAGTAAGAAAGAAAGAAAAAAAGAGAAAAAAAAGACATCACTATTATATACTACTAACATAGGCTTGAAGCTCATTTTATTCGCCTTATAAAAGTTTGTCGAAAGATGATACCACCCCCCCCATATACTAACTCTCTACGTGTATTTTTCTGTGTATGTGCGTTTATGTGTTGTTTTTTTGTAACTTCCTTTTTCTTTAAGATGAAAATAAATTTTCAACGGGTAGAAAAATATATCCAACGTAATAGAATTTATTTTCTAAAATGCACTATATATATATATATAAATTTTTCATAATACAAAATTTTTATATGCTCTTCTGTATTGTGCAAATTATTGTTAAATATTTTCCCTTTTTCTATTCTTTCTTTTTAAACGTATATATAAATGAAATTATATGAAAGAACCAAATTATTTTTTGTAAATAATTATATATATAAAGAATTTTAGAAATTTTGAAAAATAAATTAGAAATTAATTGTAAAAGTATTTAAAATTTAAACTAAAAATGTATAATTAATGAAAAAAAAATTCTCCTCCCCCAAAAAAAAACAAAAACGAAACGAATAATTAATATCAAATTATCTTAGTCATTTTTCGTGTAAAAACAAGTAAGAAAAAGATCTTGAATTATATCTTAATAAAGGTAATACAATGTCCCCTTAGTGTATCTAAAGTTTATTAACCTAATAAACGCTTAGATAAGAATTTATAACGACATAAGGTTTAACGACGTATTATTTTACTAAGGTTTTCTTACCTCGTAAACACGCACCGACTCCGGGTATTTCAGCTGTCGTACATACATATATACATATATAACTTCTAACCAATACTAAGATAATAGAAAATATCCATATATTCATGTACATAGTAAATGTATTAGTACGCGTTTATATTTACTTACATACGTGTATATACATATATATTTACGTACATACAAAAGTCATATAACTCGAATAAAGTACTGTTTTACAATTTGACAATATATTTCAAGGCGTATAAAGTTTATCTGAAGTATTTTACGAATAATAAGTTCAAGGAGTGTCGAGCAGAATGAAAAACTTTACTACCTACTATTCTCGCATATTGTTACTTATCCTATACAAAACGACGAACACATATTTTAACACACTTGTATATTTCTTTTTTATTTTCACTTCTTACTTTTACTTTAACTTTTACTACTATTTGATTTTATTTTTACTTGTTCTTTTTTTTTTTTTTCTTTTTCCAGGTCTATTTCATCGTGTTGTATTGTCAAGTGGCTCGGCTTTGAGCCCATGGGCTTCTGTACACGATCCGAACGATCTTAGGATCAAAGTTGCTGAACAAATAGGCTGTCCTACTGAAAACGACGAAGATATTGCTGATTGCCTTCGAGGTGTATCTTTGCAAGCTTTAATGTCTGTCGAACTTCCTGAAATCAGGTATTTAACAAAAATTTATTTATATTTTATTTCTTTTTTTTTATTAAATGTGTACTTTAAAACCATTCGATTCAATCGAATGTACGTTCAAGTATTAAATATATTATTATATTTTCTATTNACATTGATGTACTTTAATTCGTATTTATTTAAAATATGTGCTTCGAAAATTGTGAAATTGTATTACTATTTTTTGTTTTTTTATAGTTTACTAAAAATAAAAAAGTGTCTTGTATATATTTAAGTGGTGTACACTCAGTACATCAGACACTCGTCGATGTAACTGCATACTTCGCATTAATATAAGTGTAATTAAATAAAATATTTATATGTACTCTATCAATCAAACATAGATTTGATCTCGTTAAGGTTATTATTATGGCGATATGCATAATTGCGTATGCATTTTGTAATACGGCGCAAGGTGCAATATTGTTTATTTTTTTCCTTTGAAAGCAATGTTTATTAATTTTTAAATATTGTGATATATTCACAATTGATTAAGTTTTTTATAATGTGTCTTGAATAATTTTCCTATGTGTATTTGTAATTGTATTAATCGTTTAATAATTTTTGTATGAAATAGAAACATTTTTCTATTCATATATTTGTATATTAAAAAAAGCATGCATCGGAGACATGCTTTTTTTCATATTCGCTTGTGTTTAAATATAGAAAAATATATTTTCTAATGCATCGAGAATTCGGTATTTTGTAATGTCAATGTTTCATATCGCAAAATACCATTTTATCAATAGATATTTACAACAATGTCTGCAATAATATCCCAAGGTTTGTAATGCACAATCATTTAGAATATCAAAATATATTAATAAAAATTACGTATGAGTTATACGTAGTAGTATAAAATTAATTTTTGTTTTAGGTTCATCGATATTGGCAAGATTCTATTCCACTGTTTCTAGTTTGTGTTCTCGTAGTAGTCGTGGTGTTGTTTTCTCTATCTAAATGTATGAATGTATGAATGTATGTGTGTGTGTGAACAAATTTTTTGTATTTGGTTTAGTATGTCAATTATGCATTTATTGTCACAGTAAGCTTTTGAACGTTGTCCAGTGTCATTGCTCGTGCTAGCCTATACATATAATAAATATTCCTTTTGAATACGTTTATTTTTTTATAAACTAATATTTCCATAATATATGAACGAAAAGGATGCGATTAATCAATCCTTGCCATGATGCTTAGGGACAAGAAACGACATTTCTTTGGTTTTCCTGTGAGATTAGTTGTAGATGTTAATTAAAAGTAAAATGAGCAAATGATAATGATCGATCGATCATTTGAATTATGGATCTATTCATTCGTTGATCTTCATAATCTCAATAATAGCTGGCCACAATTTGGAGCGAACATATACCCAGTGCTTCTAAATTACAATACAAATTTTTTTCGATTAATTAATAATTAATTAAGGTATACAGAATACAGTCTTGCTCTCTACTAATACTTATAATTATTTATACACACATACATTGTTTTAAATATTATATATCTTTTATCGTACTTTGAATATTAATTAATTTTAACCCTATATTTTTCATTAGATGAAAATTTTTTCTTATAACTATACTATCATATATATATACCATCAAAGAATATTGTATTTTTTTTATAATAGTGTAGCTTTATCGCATTAAGTACCTACTATCGCCCACTGGTGGTCTCGGTAGTAACTAAGATGCATCTGGTTAGATAAAAAAGGGGACTTGTGAGCTTTTATGTACTTTTGTATTCTTTACTCTTACTCGAGACTACGTAGATTCAATTTTTTATTTAGATTATAATATGAACGAACCTAAATTAAAAAATTCGTACTTCGAATATAATTTTTTATTTTATTACGATAAATCGTAAGCATTTTAAAAAGATAATAAAAATAATCGTTTATAGTAAAATATCTCATTCTCTTATGAATTCTTTCTAATATTCTTTTGTGTCCGTTTTTTCGACATTGTTGCAACTAAAAAATAAATACGTAGCATATCTGTAAATGTATACTTATTCATTATTTTCATTATGCGTTTGTTTCACATATTTTTCTTTCGTTCTTTCGTATTTCTTACAACAACGATAGTTACGCAATTATATAGAAATTTAGTTAATTTACATACATATTTCCTTAAAATTAGCAAACATGTAACTGATTTGCATATAATCGATTGCAAAGCATCAAATACGTAATTTAAAATTCTCATATCACGTATTTGTACACATATCACGTACTTCAATATATTTATGAGAATGTTCTGTTATACTATTTATGCTCATCGGAGATGTGCGATCGTTTTGATCGGTTTTATTTTTTCGACTTTCTTCTGTACTTTCGATTTTAGATTTAATCGAATCTGATTCTCCAGACTCTTCTTTTACGGTTACACATTTATTTTTATTATGAGCTTTGATTCGAATTTTTGTGTTTACTTTTCGATTTAACGATTTATCAATTGATTTGCTATTATTCATACTCGAATTACTGGTAGATATTTTTACTGGTTGTGTAACGTAAGATCTACAAAATATTTGTATAATATAAATTAATACATTTAATTATTAAATTTTTTAATTTTTAACAAGAATGTAATTATGCTTACGTCGCAAAACTTTTTCTTATAATATCGGAATCTTGTCTTTTACGACTTTGAGTTGCAAGTTTCGCTATAATACGAGCATCAACTTTAATCCCTTTAGGTTTCTCTGTATAATTCTTTAATTTATTTAAACTTTGTGTTAAATGTTGGATCTGTACTCGCAAAGTCGCATTTTCATAAACCAATCGAGTATTTCTTTGGATGACCTAAAAATTATTTCTTTGAAATTTACTCCAAGTTTTTCTAATTTATGCAATCAATCTTAACAGATTGTTGACTAATTATTTTTCACGTGTATGCAACAATTTAAATAATTAGTAAAGAATAATAAATTTATTTTATTTTTGTATTACCAATTTTCCTAAATTTTCAATATATTTTATTACACAAACTATATAGGCTTTTAAATTTGTACAAATAATTGATTATACATTTTTGCATAAGAATACAAAATATATTATAATTAAATTCCTATATTTTCAATTTTTGTTTAATTAATTAATTAAAATTATCAAATTAAATTAACTCAATTTGAAATCATTAAATTGTAGAAACTTTCTCCAATATATAATTGAACCAACTTTAATACAACTGAAAATTGAAACTTAATTCTTTTTGCATAAAATAACCGATCAACAATTTGTTAAGAAAGTAAACGATTTACTTGCAAAAATTTAGCCTTGTTAACCGGCAACGGTTCTTGAAACTTTTCCGACACAATAACATTCAACTCTTCTCTAGCTTCGTCAAGTTTTTCCATCATTTCTTCCATAATTCTTAAATGTTCCCGATGCAACTGATCGAATTTATGCCTGAGCGTATCTTTGGCGTGTTTCATACGTAAAAATTTAATACACAAATTGTATGTAATCTCGCTTTTCTCAGCTAATTCTTCACGAAGTTGTTTATTTTCCTCACTCAACGAATCTCTCGCATCTTCCAAATCTTTCCATCTTTGTTCTTGTAATTTCGATCCATTTCCGATAAATTTGTTTTTGAAACGTTGCATTTCTTCGCAAAAGTAATCTTTTTCTCTTTGATAAAAATATCTCTCATCGTCCAACTGTTCTAAAATAAAATTCAATTCATTTTTCTATGTGCCCTATATTTCTTTTACTTTTAATTAAAATACACACACACACACACACACAGTTAATTTTTACCGTAACCAGCCCAAAGATCAGAATTTAATTAGAATAATATTTTTTATAATTAAATACAAATAATCGATTTTAATACTAAATTAAATAATAAATACCAAAAATTATATTATATAATAATAAAATAAATATATAATTAATTTTTTGTAACATATATAAGAGAAAATCTATTGAAATAAAAAAAATAATTTTGTTAAAATAGATTCGTGCCCCGAATAGGACCGGGCTTACCCGTGGACCAAAACAATCCTGATCCTGGTCTTGACATGGAACGAGCCAGTGATGCCTTTATAAAGGTACCCTTGATCCTCGGAGTTTCCAGTACCGAATCCAATCTCGACTTTAACGCGAATGATATTCAGTTTGGCTTCGAAGAGGATCATCGAAATCGGATCTTACGTACCTTCATTCGAAACGCTTACGTTTATCATCTGAACGAAATATTTTCGGCAGTGAGGAACGAATACACAGATTGGGACAAGCCTATTCTACATCCTATAATAATACGTGATTCAACAATGGAAGCACTTAGCGATGGTCACACAGTGGCACCGTTAATGAGGATTGCATTTTATCATGCTAGAAGAGGAGCCAAGACTTATTTTTATCACTTCGATTATCAGACCAAGGACAGCGGCCATCTTAAGGTCCGTTTATATTATTATTATTATTATTATTATTATTATTACTTACTTACTTTTATTTTTTCTTCATTTTTGTTAAGTAAACGATCAATATTTATAACACGGGATTTGATTCAATCAGGATTATATCATAAATCATATTAGATGTTCATTGTTTATTTATATATAATATACTTTGTGTTTAGGACAATTAATAATTTATTTTGTTATATATTTGAAATAAATGATTTTAATATTTACAGCTAAAGTTGAATTACATCAGAGAGTTGTGTCATAAATTATAGAGACTTATTATTTATATATATATATATATATAGATAATATTTTGTTTAAGATTAATAATAATTTGTTGGTACGCGTATTTTAAATGAATGATCAGGATTCCTTCAATATTATCTAAAAAAAAAGGTTGCATTTAAAATGATATATTAATAAAGAGTACATTTTTCAATATTTAATTATAAATACTGACCATTTATTTCAAAAATGTTTGACCATTTTAATAATTATTTTTAATACAGATTACAAATATTTGCTTATAAATGTTGATCATTAATTTAAAATACTACCTCGAATATGAGTAGTACCATTTTAATTAATTTTACATTTTAAATAAATCCTCCAATATCATAAAATATAATTATCTTCGTATTTATCTACTTATTTTAACTCTGACATATATATATATATATTTAAATCATAATTATTAATACAAAATCGTAAAAGAAATGTTTTGAAAGAGAAATCACGGAGATATCTCTCTTAACTTATCGATGTCTTCAAAGAGTCTTTTTCTATTAATACTTTTGTACCGGGGGCAAATTTTTTGCCCGAAGCTAAAGAAGAAGGATCCTTCTTCTACCTAAAGTTTTCTTATACAAGATTCTCGTAAGGTAAGGTAAAAGGGATGATGGGTTGGTGGGACCAAGGGCCAAAAACGAGACTGAAGGGTGAGGAATGAGGAAGAATTTCGTTTAAGATGCCTCTCGAATGAAGAAAGGTTCAGCCAAGGCAAAGCCAAAAGCAGATAGATGGATGGAAAGAAAAAGAGATAGGTAGATAGGGAAAAAGGGAGAAAGAAAAAGAGAGAGAGAGACTGCTTAAGTCTGAGTTAACTTTATTAACTCAACTTGCCAAAGGGAGAAAAGGTTAGATATAGTGATAGTTAGGGCAGAAGACCAAGAGCAAGAAATATAGATGCAAAATAAGAAAGATAGAGAGAGAGAGAGAGAGGGAGAGAGAGATAGAGAAGGTTGCTTCTCAACGTAAACTTTAGCAACCTTCTTGGTTAAGGTGTTAGATATTCGTAGCTTTAGCTTACTTGCTGTATCCACCATCACCACCACCACTATCAGGTTCTCTACATTTACTATCCATACCTCTTTACAACAAGAAACCAACCAGCCCCCCCCCTCATCCTTTACTCTTACTCTTACTCCTCCTCGATGTTTCACCATGAACATTCAAGGCAACTGCTAGCCATGATTTCAAGACCTAGACGTTGATTTAATAAGACACTCCTGGTTCACTATTCCTGGGTTAGGAAGTGAAAGCTTATTACCAAAAGGATGATCACGTTTCTCTCATCTGAAATGCCATATTCCATGATCTGGCTGTGATGATAAAGACGATGAATACAATCCACACGACGTCACGATCATCCATGACTATGATCATGATAATCATGATTATGTAATTATGGTAATGATTATTATTATTGTATGTATATGTGGGATAAAGATAAAGTGAAGATTTTGAATTAATGGAGACGACGACTCTTTCATCTTCGCTGTTAAATTTTCTATAGTAATCTTTTAAATTTTATTCTTCATTTTGTGTCTCTGTTATTAACTCGAATCTTTTTCGTTTAAAATGTATTATCTACTAATGATTAAAATTATATATTTGAGTTCCTTATAAAGTTATCGATCGAAAGAAAGTTAACTTATGTTAAATGAATGACGTATACAATTTTTCGTTACATTTGCATATAAAACAGGGTTTCCAAATGTGTGTGATTTCTCCAACCCCCCCCCCCCCATAACTAGGTCGCATAATTAAATTTCCAGAGGATAATAGAAATTTGAAGAAAACTAAATAATTCTTTGACGTGTAAAGGATCGAAAATGAATTCCAAACAATTTTGACAACAATACATAGGATCGCTAAAATACTTCCTCGGACAATGATGATCGCCAAGTGGTAAATTTGGAGAAGCTTTGATACAGAAAATCAATTGTTTGTACGATAAATGAATAATTAATTTCAATTTGAACGTGTTTCGTTTATAATAAAGACAAAAATAAAGATAACTTCATTAGTTCAAAACGTATTTTCGTATAATATCGATTAAATATTTTTTAAAATTACGTCTACACCATTTTGTAAGATGGTCAAATAATTTTAATCTGCATGATGCATATATATATATATATTTTGAATTGACAGTATCCTTTAGATAGGATCATCTTTTAAATAATTCGTTTCATTTCCCATGATAGGATTCTCTTATTTCTTTCATTCTTTCATTATCTATCTGTCTCTTTCTCCCTTTTGAGGATTGAAATTCCGTACGATTTCGTCGAATCGATCGTTCTACTTCTAACACCAGGGTCATATATAAAACGGGGTAGGAAATTTAATCAACTTCCAAGTGAGCCACAAACGAAGGATGATAGTTCGTTTCATAACTTTGTACAAGCTGTGTGCTAGTATATATATATATACGTTTGTATGTGTATGTACCTAACACCATCTCTCTCTCTTTCTCTCTCTCTCTCTTTCTCTCTCTCTCTCTTTACCGAGAGAAAATTATTACGAAAATTCGAACTCCCCCTTTGACTTCGTTCGAGTCAAACCGAAACTCGAAGCTCCAGCTTCGTATTACCTTTGGAAAATTTAAACGAAGGTTAGACAAATTAATAGCTAAGAGAATAAAAAAAAGAAAAAAGAAGAAAAATGTGAAGAACAAAAAAAGAAACAAAATAAAGAAAATCAAGACCAAAAAAATAAAGGACGACTAACAGATTTTGAAAATATTATCTTCAATTTAAAAAAAAAAAAAAAAAAGAAAGATGAAAAGAGAGGAAAGAGAAATATTGTTGAATCCAGTGATTGTGTGTGTGTGGTACGTAATGCAATCAAAAAAAGATTTGATTTCAAATGAAACGAGTAGAATCTTTGATGCAATTCATTCCACTTGAAAGCATGCGATTCGTTTAAGAAAGATCTTGGAAAATAACGATCACGATACTTAAAGGTTTAATGCATAATAGTATTACTCCGTTTCTACTATCTTTAACTCTTTAGGGAACGACGATTAAACATAGATTAAGAGAGGATGCATCTTAATTGCGAATGCGAATCCTCTTGTATCCTTCCTTAGTTATTTTCACCGAAGCTATTTTCTTTCATTTTCTTTTTTTCTACTTCTTTATATACGACAAGGAAAAAAAGAAAGATAAAAAGAAAGAAATAGGGATATATATATATATGTACAGATTTTATTTTTTATATGAACCATTTATTACAAGAATGATATAGGTAAGTCGTCCCTGAATTTATAAATAAATTACAAAAAAATATTCATTTTCATTAATTATAAATAAAACATCATAAAATTATGTTTTTCGTTCCCATAATATATAGTCCATATATATATTCCTATGTATGTATATATGAGAAAAAAAATTATCTGTATTGATAATTATGATTGTGGATTTATAAGTGAAAATATTGCAGAAAAAATTTGATTAAAATAATTTGTATTAAAAAATAAATTTGTTCCATTCATTGTGATCGACGAGTCCACTTTCAAAATTACCCCGATACGTATATATTCTTTTCTTTTTTTTTTTTCTTTTTGTATATATCAGTGTATGTGCATATATGCAGGTATATTTGTTTCTTTCTTTTTTCTAACTTTTTATATAGTCACGTATATTACCCGTATAGCCAGCCAACTTATTTACGTGCACTCGGAGATTAACTAGCGAAATGAGTCACCTTCTACCTCCTCTTCGTCGTCAAACCTTACCTTTCGTAAGCAAAGAAAAAGACGAAGAGAGAGAAGGAGAGAAAGAGGAAGGTACTTTCTCCCCATTTTAACACAGAAAGTTTCATTAGCCCGAACTTGGTCGTAACGTTAAAGTCGCTTCACTTCTCATTTATACGGCTAATTATAATGAGCACCCACCCACCCATGTTCTTACGTTGTGTTTACGATCGTAAATACTAGATAGATCGTTCAGAGAAAAATGACTTTAGATTTTAAATAATTCTTTACTCCGATATTATTTTTCAAATAAATTCCTCGTTTAATTTTCTTTTTTTTCTTTTCATTTGTATAAAATATATATATATATATATAATTTTTATAGGTAAATATAAGAATGGCTTTTAATGAATAAATAAAACAAAAATATAATATATTTATTTAATATATATTGTTTATGAAGACTCCCTTATGTGTATATTTTATATATATATATTAATTTGTTTATTATTTTGTTTCAGCGTTTGGGTAGTGTACGAGGAGAGGACATTCCATATATTTTTGGATTACCATTGGTAGTAGGTGGTACTTTCTTCCCTCGTAATTATTCTCGACAAGATCAGGGTGTCGCCGAAGCCGTCCTCACGTTTTTCACAAATTTCGCTAAAACCGGAAACCCCAACGAGCCGCACAAAATTGAATCCGTAGATTATGGTACACCGAAAGAGAAAACACGTTTTCGGGGTCTAACGTGGGAACAATATGAGACTAATACTCAAAAATATTTAACGATAGGTATACCAATTATTCAAAAAAACAATTTATTCATATATTTTACTATAATGTTCACATATGATCGCTATAATTCTAGCTTCGAAACCTAAGATGAAGAGTCATTATCGAGGTCACAAAATGGCTGTCTGGTTAAATCTGATACCCCAACTTCATCGACCAGGTGACGATGACGTTTCTATGAGACATCATCATTTTCGTGAACGGGAAGAACACTATTATGCGGGTATAATCTCAAACTTTGAAATACATATCTTTTATTTTTACTATCTAATTGTTAATAACTAAATCTATATATATATATTACATTAACCAGTATCCCGAAAATAGAATTACTAAATAATTAATTTACTTTTCAACCCTTTCCTCGAGACAATAACAATTATAATTGATTTTAACAGGTCCAGTTAGAGACGAATGGTATACACCACTTCCCTTAACGGGTACAACAAAAACCAGTGGAGCCTCCTCGACAACAGCTTGCAGTACATCAACAGGTGACGAGACAATAGCTGAAAATATCACTCCAATTTTAGAAGAATCCGAAGAGGACAATGAATTACTTCAAAGATTATCCTCTCGTCATTACTACAGTACAACAACAGCATTAGCCATTACAGTTGGTGTTGGATTGATTCTATTAATCTTAAACATGCTGATATTCGCTGGCATTTATTATCAACGTGATCGCGACAAAAAAAGAGCTGCGATGGATTGCACACCGAATGGACAAGAATCTTTACCGATGACTACGAGACCTGTCGCAGTTAAGGCTACAGAAAATACGAATAGACCTAGCCAAGAACCACCCCCATCTTACACGACATTAGCCAGAAGTCCATCTGTTCAAGAACACCAACAGCAACAGCAGCCTCCTCAAGGCCAACAGCAAACAATGAACGAAGATGGACAAATAAAAGTGGACAATAGAACAGGACAACAAAATGTTGCTGCTGGTAATGCAATTCACAAAGATCCAGTACCACCAAAACCACCAGTTAGAACTACAAGTTCTCTGAGTAGCAACACACCTGGCAATACCAATACCATAAAAAAACGAGTACAGATACAAGAGATATCTGTATAGCATTAGGGGTTGCCGCCAGAGGGCGGCACCATCAGACCAAAGAGGGTGACTTTCGTCGACTGTGAGGCCACGATCCAGTCTAGATTCTAAATAAAACTAAATCAAACTTATATGTATTAATCGTCATCGGGAAAGATAATCGATGATAAAAGACTGGTTTTGCCTTTTCACACAAACACATGGACATCTTCTAATCAATCGTTAATGATTAACTTTAGGAAAAAAGGATCATTTAAAGAAAGATTGTTTTATCTTTCAGATAACTGTGTTCTAAGAGTGTTCTTCTTTCGTTAGGGATAATAAAGGTGCAATGATGAATATTTGTGTATGTATGTATGCATGTATGCAAGTCTGTACGAAAGAGAGAGAGAGAAAGTGTGAGAAATAGTTTTTGAAAATCAGTACCTTCGTCCGCGTACTATGCCATAAAATGTACATTTTACATTGAAGTTTACTTCTAAAAAGAAAAAAACAAAATAATAATATGGAACTCAAGTGAAAGATTTGAGTGTTCTAACGTATACACTTGTGTAAGTACTGTCTTACATGTTGCTATATATTTGAATAAAAGAAAAAACAAACTCTTTATAACAGAGTTAAAAAATAATGAAGTATATGCAACGTGAACACACACACAAACACACACACACAAATATACTTAACATTCGTTATAAGAAAAACGTAAATAACTTTCCCTGTATTATTTCCTGAATATCGATGCATATACGTCAAGAAAAAAAATACGGTGAATACGTGTGTACTTCTACAGAAAAAGAAAAGAAGAAAAAATAAATAAAATAATAAAAACTAAATTATAAAATGAGAGTGCTGTGTGCTCGAAGAAGAAAAAAACGGAATAATGAACAGCTATAAATTATTTTCTTCCGTCTAAATCGTAAAAACTTTATATACATATATATAATACAAGGTGTCCGAGTTTTTTTCAGCCAAACGGTGTCAACGTATTCTATGTGCACGAAAATAATGAAAAATATATATTACATAAATGTAGAACTCATTTAAAGATACGTCAAATAAAAAAACTTAGCAACGGGGATTGTCCTTAAATTTCCAATCGATTATTTTTACACCTTTTCTTATATTTTATTATTTCGAAATGATTTAGCGAATCCCACAATCGATAACAGTTCTCTTAAGTTTTCTCGCTAAAAACTTTCGATCGAAATGCTGAAAACATATTCAAAATCAAAAATATGCGAACGTTCGTTGTTATACTTATGGTTATTATAACTTTGTAAGAAAACTCTAAGTAACTTATATTTGTATCAAATTTTGTTCTTATTTTCGTGCATAGAATATGCTAATACTGTTTACTCATCAAAACCTCAGATACCCTGTATATGTATGTATCTCTCTCTCTCTATATATATATATATATATATAGATTTTTTTTCTCCACGACCAACTCATAATAACTCGAATTCTCAAATGAAAAAAAGAGCCTGTGTATTTGATAGGAACCTTGGAGGATATTTAAAAGAAAATAAAATAAAATCGACACTGTATTATGTATATATAAATATATATAATATATTTAAAAAGAAAAAAAAAAAAAAGAAACTCTCGAAAAGAAAATCGTAGTGGCATTTGCAACTTCGAAAGAATCCATATCTCTTTTGAAAAAACATATAAATAAATAAAGAAAAAAAAAATAAAATAAAATAAATAAAGACAAATACTACGATTTTATCGTAAGCAAGAAAAGAGACGTGCTCGATCGTTTGAATAAATAGATTAAAAGAAAGAAATAAAAACATGGTCAACGACGAGTAAAAATCTAAAAGATTACGTAAGTTCGATTTCTTAAAAAAAAAAAAGAAAAAAAAAGGAAAAAAAGTAATAAAAAAACAAGAGGGGAGGAAAAAGTAAATACATATTCGTTCGTGTACGATAATAAATCTGAAAAAAAACATTCTCGATGATTAAATCACGTCAAAGTAAAGAGAAAAAATATAGAAAATAACTAAATCCTTCATTCTTAAGAGAGGACTAAATAAAATACACTTCTTCGCTGATAAGAAGCTAATAATGATTTAAGGCCGTAATAATATCGTGTAATTAAAATTACTCTTGTAATTAGCGTAAAACTTACACGAAAAAAAAAAAAAAATAAAAACGACAAAAGAAAAAATCGTCTAATCGTATCGATTTTGATAATTTTCAAACTACGTTATCGCGCAAACATTTTTTTAAGCAAACATTATTCGCAAACAATCCTTCTCATGTTCGTATTATGTAGTCATACTTCAAACGATATTATTTATGATCGTACATAAAAAAGAAAAGAAAAAAAAATTTATCAAGCACGTAAAATAATATAAAAAGCAAAAAATAAATTAAAAACGATGGTGAAATTTAATTAGCGACTTTAGCTCAAATACAATTTGTAAATTTCACTGTAAAACAATAAACACACTTATTTATAAATACTCTATCGGTACGATATGTATTTCTTAATATATATATGTATTATTATTATTTGCAAAAGTGATAAAAAAAAAAAAGAAAACAATAAAGAATATTGCGAATAGATTTAAAATTAATAATAATATTAATATATAATTTAATCTCTCAGGAACATTATTACAAACTTTATTTTGAATGGTTCTCATCGTGTACGATAAAATACTATTACAGTATCTAGTTATTACGATTTTCAATAACCGTATAAAAATAATCATATTTTAAGGTATTGCATATATAATAATACAATAGATCATTTGTTTATTTTCTCTTATCCGGATTTTGTTTATAGATTAATTTTCCTTATTATATAACATAAATCTTTCAGTTATCCGGAAAAAAAGAAAATATAAATCGGAATAATAAAAAAGAATGTCTAGCATTTCTAAATTGTTTAAACTTTCTCTGTGTGCTTTGTAAATAATTAAATGGTTACAATAGCATGAATTATATTATTATACATGGCAGGTCTAAGACGAAAAACTTTCATCTACCTGTTTTATTTCTTGGATAATTTAAGAAATAACTATTCATGGGCTGCCGTTTTTACCGGAGGTTGATTCGCTGGAGGAGATATATGCCTTTTTCTTCCGCCCTTATATGTTGAACGACCTAAAATAATATTATTTCCATATCGATATTAAGATGAATACAAAATCCTCAAAAGGAAGCAAGTTAATTTTAATTTTTACAAAATATCAGTACCAAGAGAATGATTTCAACTCAGCGAAATCCTATGGATTAAATCCTATAGATTTCTCAGTATTAGCATGGCAAGTCATCATATTATAATTTTATATTCATATATTAACAATATAATTAATTTATATTTAATCAAAATCTTTTTTTACCTTTTCTATTGTCCATTCTGCTTTTGTTACGTTGTCTAACATTTGCGATATACTTCTTAACTTCGTCCAAATACTTCTGTTCTTCTTCGTTCTCCAATACCCGACAAGTTATTTCATTTTTTTCGATCACGACCTTTTGAATAAAAATAAATATATAAGATTATATGCAACAAGTGTAAATTAAACATTTACATTTAATATTGAAAATAAAATAATCATCGATAACTCACTTTGTTATTTGGTAATTTATCCAAAATAGTTTTCGCTACATTCTCTTCCTGGAAACGAATCCATGCCTCTTTATCGCCACATTCATAGTGAACATAAGCAATAGGAGCCTCGAACTTTTCAAAACATGATCTGATTAAATCCCTCCTACATTTATTTGGCATGTTGACCAAATGAATAATAGCACCTTTTGGTAAATTAACGCTCTCTAAAACTTTAGCATCCTTCTGTAACTGTAAAAGATACATTATTAATTACTCTCCGATACTTTAATATTTAAATATTTGTTATGTGCATGTACTTACGGATTCATTTTTCTTCTCTCTCATTTCTTGATAATGTTGCCTCCTCCCTTCATGTTCATTTGCACGTTCAACAGTATAATCAGCCCTAACGATTGAAAAAACAAAGAAAGAAATTATTTTAAACTTGAAATGTGATTGTGTATAATTAATACTACATTGCGGTTAAACTTACGACCACTTTCTAATCAATTCCACGTCATTATATTTAACAGATTTTCTTGCCATAAAAGCTTTAGCATCGTCTAAAGTTTTAAATTGTACAAAAATAGAACCTTTAAAGCATAGCACCTTGTCTTTGTCTTGATATTTTCTCATCTAAAGTATAATAAATTGTAAGTCATTTCTACAATTAATTTTTACATTAATAATAAATGTTATTAAAAAAATATATAATACTTGGAAATACTTACAACAATGTTCTCATATGGTTCGTATTGGTTGAAGTAAGTTTTTAATTTCTGAATATTTGTATCTTTTAATGGAAATCCTTTCATATAAACTGTCTTTTCTTCCTGCGCCTTTCTATATTCTTCATCATATTTTGGTAGAGGAAATTTAGTTGACCGCCTTATTTTTGTCTTATCCTCTGATACTTCAATTAACTCGCTTGATTCAAGAGCCTTCACTATAACATCGCAACTGGTGGTCATAGTGGCTAACATATTGAAATTGAGCATTACCGTTAAGGGTATCCATCCGTTATCTAATTTTATCTGCTCGGAAAGGAATTTGTCTCTTTGCATATTCACATTACCGAAGTAGAACTGTAATAAATAAATGATTGTAAATATTATTCAAACAAAATTTTTCCATGAATCTTAATTAAAGATAATCCACTCTATTCATTTTGAAACAAAAGTCTCTAGGTACGGATAAAGTGAGACAAAAAAATATCACGTGTTAAACAGTAGTGTTAACACGTGGTACATACAACAAATGTAAAAAGCTTTTGTCTATTTTATGAAACAAAAAAATTGAAATAATTGTAAAAAGAAATTGTTAAATATTTACTTCTATTTGATCCTTGATCTGTTCTAACAATTCAATTGTTGGTTCCGAGGACTCTTTCGTTTCCTTAGTTTCTTCTACTTCTTTAGTTTTTTCTTCTTCCTTTTTTTCTTCTGGTTCCGTAGCTTCTTTTACTTCTTCTATTTCTTTGCTTTTTTCCGTTTCTTTACTTTCTTCTGTTTCCATATTTTCTTCCTTTTTATTAATATCATTATTCAAATTTTCAACCGGCTTGTCCTCCTTAACCTCTTCTTTAGCAGATTCAACCTCTTTTTCAATATTATTTTCTTCGTTGCTACTAGCCATGATTTTATTTCCAGTATATTTATATCCAAACGTAATAACAGACGTTTACGTTAATATCATTAAAATTTAATGTAAGTCAATGTTTATTAGAAACAAATAAGAATTAGAGAAACCGATTCACAAACTTGCAATATTCTCTACATTCATTAAGAGCGGAAGTGAGTTCATACATTACTATCCTGCGTTATTACGTAGTCAGCCATATTTTTCCTTTCGTCTTAAATGTAACTAACTTCCGTTCTTTTCAATTCTCAACGCTCATTGGTCGTACTAGTAATACTTTTTCAGTGATATAATTCTTTAAAAAGATTAAGAAAAATTCTTTTATAACTAAATTTCTTTGATAATAAATAAGTAAGGTATAAGTCACAATTTTTAATAAAGCATATTTATTATTTTATATACATACATTAATAATGCATCAATATATGCACTCAATAATAATGCAATATATCGATAATTCAAACGTGATTGGCTGTAAAGTTTTAAAGATTGAAAGTTATTGGTTGTGAAAAGAAAGTATAAAATATTTTTGAATGTGTATAATAAAATAAATAATAATATTAAAAAGCATACATTATTTTCAATTTCAAAATGACTATAATTTAAAAAAGAATTATTTGCGAGTATATAAATGACAAATGAAAATAAATAATGAGTAAAAATTAATAATAAATATTAGTATAATTTTAATTGAATACTTTTTACGTATACCAATATTATATGTTTTAACACTTTTATATTAAAAAAAAATTTTCGAATAGATATATGTTTTTTTGTATATATATATTTATTAGTTATATATTCTAAATAATAATATTATAACTTAAATTATCTTATTAGCCGGATATGAAGAAAATATGAACGCTGATGTATACATGTTGTATACATATATATACAAATACATTCTAGAAAGTTGGTATATAAGTTGGCCACAGTTCATCTATCCGCCCTCTTCTCCCTTCCGGTTTGATCTTTGCAGTGGATGTAGCTTGTTTAGAAGTAGCTGCAGAGTAATCTTCCCCATCTATCAATATGAGAATTTATAAAGATATTTTTACCGGTAAGTTCGTTTATTTTGATTGGTTATTAATATTATTTATATATATTTTTCCAATCGGATTAATTTTATTTAAGTTTTTAACATACGTTTAAGATGGGTCGAACAATGACAGTTATATGTATCTTGTAACGATATTGTATTTTTCTAATTATTTCGAATACTAAACATTTTTATTGTATTGTTTTAAAGTAGTTTTAATCATTGATATAAACATTTTGAACATAGTTATGTCCTTATTAATTATAATCGAATGTACACGTTTATAACCTCTATATGTGTACAATGGATCGTTTGATTTAACATCTACATATCTTGGAAGTAGCTTTTCTTTTGTTATTAGAACATTATTGTTTTAAGTAACGAAAATTCTTCTATTCTAGGAGACGAAATGTTCTCTGACACATACAAAATAAAACTAATTGATGATGTCCTTTATGAGGTGTATGGAAAGGTAACTTTAATGTGAAACTTAGAATACTTTAATTATAAGTGCATTTATTATTTATTTACATATTTAAATATTCTATTTAATAAATACAGCTGGTCACAAGAAAAGCTGGTGATATAGAAATCGCTGGCTTCAATCCGTCTGCTGAAGAAGCAGAAGAATGCACTGATGAAGCAGTCGAATCAGGAGTTGATATAGTTTTGAATCATAGACTTCAAGAAACTTTTGCATTCGGAGACAAAAAATCATACACATTATACTTAAAAGATTATATGAAGAAGTAAGTGACACAGTACACATTATAAATTTTCGTTGTTTTTTGTTATTCTGTAAAAATTATTTCTTTTATACTCTTTCAATATTAGATTAGTAGCCAAATTAGAAGAAAAATCTCCCGATCAAGTTGAGGTTTTCAAGACCAATATGAATAAGGTGATGAAAGATATTCTTAGTAGATTCAAGGAACTACAGTTTTTTACCGGTGAATCTATGGAGATCGACGGTTTAGTTGGTCTTATGGAATATAGAGAGATTGATGGTGAATCCATGCCTGTCATGATGTTTTTTAAGCATGGACTCGATGAAGAAAAATTTTAAAGAAATCTTAGATATTCAACAAATTGGAAAAGTTTTGTAAGTTTATTGTATACAACAATATTTATTCTGTTTATATTTATAGATTTTTTCTTGCATATACATGAATTTTTCCATCCTTACATTTCATGTTTGTATGATGTAACACTTCATGTTACAATGAAATTAATGATTGGATTCCCGTTACAACATTGTTTTGTTGCAACGTCTATTCCAACCATACAATTTATTTTTGAATATATGTTATTTTTTTATTTTGTATACAAAAATTGATATTAATTTTTCTTTTTCAGATAAACAATAACTAAGACTGCACACAAATTAATAAAAATTAATAAATAAATAAATATGATATACATAAACTATGAGATTTAGTTACAGATGTGTATTGCAAAATATTACTTCCATGAATAACAACAATTTTCTGCAGTGCAGTTAAATTATTTCATCAATAATGTAAAGTATGTATTCAAAGGAAATATCACTGGATATACATAATTTACAACAGGAGTATGGATGAATGAAAAAAATGACAAAAATGAACTTTTACAACAGTTGTTTGAATACTTTAAATAATTGAAATAATTTGTGATAAATTTAAGATCTTTTTTGTTTTTCTTATTTTACTTGGTGCTTCGACCAGTAATTTTATTTATATATAATATGTATATATATAGAAAAAAAAATAACGCAAACAAAATATGAAAGATGGGGAAAGAATTTGCAGTGATAGTAAAAATCACAGTGCATAAAATAAATGCCTAAAATTATTGTTAATATCAATAATAATATCTACAACCTATAATTTTTCTTTACTCTTACTCGACTTTAATTGTCCATCATGAATAAAAGTGAAACAGAATGATTTCTTTTTCATAATAATCTTCAATTATTTTTTACTACGAATTTATTTAAAAATTTTCAATTAAAATGGAAGCGGAAAAATTATGTAATTATTAATTCACATCTTCCCTCGTTCCATATAAATCTAATTTTACTACGTATTTTTATTCTATAAGATATTCTTTGCATTCGAGAGGCCCCACATCGTTTCGTACGGCAACACTAATGGCAACAGAGTAGTATTTCCTTAAAGAACAGTACTAGTTTGTGGATAAGTTCTTTAGCTCTTTATATTGTTTTTCAAGAAATATTCTACTGTATTTCTTTAATATTTAAACTGCCTTCCACATGCAAAAAAAGAAAATCATCAGGCTATGGATTCAGCTGTTTGGAATGCTAGGAAAAGCAGATTTCTAACAATAAGATTAAGGTATCCTCTCTTTCTCGTGAATAAATAATATACCTTTTATCCAATTTTAGTTTCTAACAAAGACTTATAACAAATATATAACAAAATTTTCAGAGATATTCACTTATCGTTTGTTGACTTTATATTGCAATCTAGAACGAAGCATCTAAGAGAGTAAAAGTTTACAAAATTTATTCTTCATTCTTTATAAAAGAAAAACATTTTTGTGTAGTAACAGTTATATATATATATATATATATTGAAAGTTTTTTCTAATATTTTTTATACAAAGTATAAAGTTTCTTTTACTAAAGAAAACAATAAAATACATTATGTTAAAATACTAGTATCGATGAAGAAACATTTTTAGGGTGATCACTGCATACGTTCATTGTTGAAAAAAAATTTATAATATATATTATCAAAAGCAATAATATAATTGATTGTCATTATTATAAAACAAAATTATAGTACAATTCAAAATGAAATGTTTCATAAACGTCATTTAAAAATATTAAAACGTGATGAAAAATATTTAAAAATAATTATATTATAAATATTTTTAAATAGCTTACGCATACACACACACTTAACATTTAATAAATTTATTAAAAAAAATTAACAATCAAAGTAAAAAATGAATAAATGAATGGAGAGAAAGTCGATAGAAAACATTTGCTTCATAAAAATATTTTATTTAGATAAATCAGAATAGACGACTCTATTTCTTGATGTAAGATCATACACAATATTTCTTTGCGCTCAGAGATTGTTAATGATTTTTCATACTGTTTTACAAGTACATTCATAATATCATCACCCTATCGTGTCCCTCGTCTTCTAAATCTTACAATCTCACCCATTTGTTTCTTTATTATTTCCAGTTTCATATTACATTACATTTTATATACTCTCATTGTTATTACATACACAGGTCAATATATTACTCTTACTTTTTATTAAACAGTTGCTGTCCCATCTCTTGCCAAACGCATTACATTTTTAATATTTATTTATTTGTATTTTCTTTTTCTTTTTTAAATTATTTTCCCATGCCATTGTCTCTTACTCTCTCGCTTTCTCTCTTTCAAAAAATTATTTTTTATTCACGTTTATAAAAGCGTATCATAGTTTCCAATAATATTATTTTCTTACAGATAGTTAAACATTTTTAATCTACAACGAATACGTATGCAATTAGTTAATTTATTTTACCGCTCAAGATTTATTTATTTTATTTTTTTAAGCTTTTTAATGATGTAGATAATGGGCTAGGAGAGAATTATTGCACAAAAAAATACATATATAGTATATACCAAAGTAGAGGAGAAGCATGTGTGTATGTGCATATGCATAAATGATGATACTTTTAGTTCTTCGTTCTCTCCTTTTTTTTTCTTATAATTTTTCATAATATATTACACACACACACACACGCATACACCTTTCGTTGCTGCTAATTATAGAACACAAAATACTGAAATTTCGTTATTAAAATTAAAATAATTTGATATTTTTTTAAAGAATTTTTTTTTGATACGTTGAAGTGTATTTGTTACACATATATAAAATGAATAAAAACGAGATATTTTTAAGATAAATAGGCAGGTAATAGTAATAATAGTATAATTATAGTAATAATAATAATATTAATAATAATAATAATAATAATAATAATAATAATAATAATAATAATATTAAAATTAAACTGGGTATTGAATTGAACGGTGCAGCAATTTATCACGGGACTGGACACTGATTAATTGGTATCCGTAATTTAATCTAAAGCTGCTTATAATAATCTTTTGCAGGATGGAATGTTATATCAGAGAGCTGCCTACCCGTTTTAGATTATTTTATGGAATTTCAGAGAATATAATTCTTTTTCTTTTTTTTTTTTAATTTTTTTTTATTATTAATTTCTTCGTTTTTTTTAGATCATTTTCTCGTATTTTTTTGTTTGAAAAATTTCATCGTTTTTTTTCTTTAATTTTGTAAAAACAAATCTCATCATCCCAACTGTTGCTTCACAGCGTATAATTTACAATAAAATGGCATAGTAAATTAGTTAATACTTAGTTTTTTTCTTTCTTTTGTCGTTTTTTTTAGATTGTATAGAAAGATTGATTGAGGTCTATCCGACTAATGCAAATACTCCAAAAAATATTAATCGTAGTGGCAGTCATATATATACACACATATAATATATAATAAATTAATTTTCTTATCAAAGAAAAATCCAAGATACGTTGGATTAATAATAAAAATAAATATTGTATAGTTATACATATATATATATATATATATATATATATATATATATATATATACATATATATATACGTTAATTTGTCTAAAATTAGCAGTTTTAAGAATATATAAATTATAAAGACATGTCCGCAGAAAGTATATAGAATTTTTCTGGTTTTCTAAATTAGCTTTTTGCAAAGGTACAGCATTCGATAGAACATTTCTTAGTGAGAGTCAGATATCTCTATATATTCAGAAAGATTAAACATTGTATTATCATTATTCTTATTTGTACTGATTTACATAGAATGGGCGCGAGGAAAATTTTCGATAACAAGGAAAGAAAATTATTTATCGCAGACATGCTAAGAATAAATTATGCTAGATTTTACTCTTGCCACTATATATATTTATACATATATATAGATATACAGAATGTCATATAACTGTTGGTATAAGCAAACAGGTAATGATTCTACACACATGAAAAACTAAATAAAAAATGTATAATAAAATTTGTCCATATAAAGCTTTGTTCTCGAGAAAAATAAGTTTGAAAATTTGTCGAGTACGTGTGCATTTGATTCAGTTTAAGCTTGATAGATTTTACTATCTTACTCCTGAATATTTTGGAGAGCACATTTTTGTGCTTCTTAATATATTTACAAACATTGTCAGTATAATGATATCTTTTATATCGGTTCTTCTTTATGCTTGTCGAACAGGCTTTCAGTTTGCAGGATTGCAAGTTCAGTTAAGTGCATAGAATCACCTGCTCACTTGTATTACCAATTATAGGACATCCTGCATATATTAAACTTGGACATAAATTAATTTAGTTTCATCTATAGCCAATACAAATTATTTTTGTTTTAACCATGCAGTATGCGATGAAGTCGTAAGATGCAATCACAAAGATTATAAGTACAAAGATGAAAATACACGAAAATACCACTTTACTACGCATCCCATTCTATTACTCTACTTAGAGAAAGACTTATTTCAAAATAAAATAGCAAGCACGCATAAATGTTATTATTATTATTATTAGTAGTAGTAGTAGTAATAGTAGTATAGTAGATCATTTTTATATATAGTAACAAATATTATTATACCACTTAAAAATATTACCTCACAAAACTTGTTGTCGTAATATTAAATAAAATGGCAACGGTATTACGAGCGTTCTATCACAGCGTAAAATCTCTAAAAATTGGGATGATTAAAATAACAAAAATAAATCTTTCTCCATGTAGAACCATCAATTATTATGTAAAATATATCTAAATACAAATTGTCAGTATTGTACCATTTCTACTATTGAAAAAACGTGGTAAAAGCATCAAGATTTACATCAAAGATAATCGTACTCTTTATATCTCCTAAGTCGAAGAATAATTCTTGATGGATTCCATTGTTTTTAATTACATATTTTAATATAGTTTGTTTGTTTTTTTGTTGAAATTTTTTTTTTTAATGCGTTCGCTTTATTAAAATCTTTCTTTCCTTTGTATCTCTTACCTTAATAATGTCGAATCGTGTATATATATTTAATGTTAAGTTCATTTTTTTTGTAGTTAGCTTTAATACTCTACTATCGATCACTACTGAAATTTGTATATCGTTTGCGAAAAAGTTCGGTTTATATTATATTCATATATATTCATATATATATTCATGTATATCTATAGATTTTTGTTTTCTTTTTTTTTTCTCTCTTTTAACATTTATAGATTTATATGAAACTTCATTCACAGGTAGCATTCGCGCCCACGAACCCTAAGTGATCATCGTATCTTATTTTTTACTTTGAGGAGCTTGAAAAGAGGTTTACGCAAAATGCGTCAATAGTTGGGAGGTAATTCTGGTCAGTGCTTTCAGTTTCAACGATCGAGCAGAATTAACTAACAATTATGAAAAGAAAAGGGTAAAGAATAGTGTGCGACAATCTATTTTTTTTTCTTTTTAGATTTAAGATATGAAACTACTAATTGCTCTCATAAATATTATTTTGAAACGTCGATAGCATCGCATTATTATTATTATTATTATATCTCACGATTTTAATTAAAAGAATCACAGAAATCAGGTAAAAAACAACAATTTCTGTTATCCGTCTTCTATACAGGCTATTACGCATTATTTTTTAAAAACGAATAATACTCATAACTGGCACGGCAGGCATCTGAAATGAACCGTAACTCCAGCTTTGTTTATGAAAAAAATTAAGAATTTAATATTGTGTTTCTTTTTTGATGGTAGGCATAACATTAAAAACTCTCATATCAAGTAGATAACAATAACCAACAACTAACAATCGTAGGCATTCACGCAAAAATAGAAATATGTTTAATAATATATAATAATATTATTATAATTTATATTATCGAAGTGTGTGTAAGTATGATCCTTTGCCTATGAATACTAGAGTACTAGAGTTAAATAGTGTCAATGACTAGAGCTGAAAGATTTCCAAAAATGTATTATTTTCTATATAATAGTAATAATATATATAACTTTAAAGAAATTATTTAATATATTAATTAAATACTATTATATATTCAAATTTTAAATTAAAACCGTTTGAGCATATACGAGTTCGAAAGAAGGGACACTATTTACTTGATATACTCTAATCATTTTTTTCGAAACGATCAACATTTCCCAATAATATTCAATTGTCCAATTTATCTTCCTCAAATAATTAAGATAATGATTAAATAATTTTTAACATTAATTTATTTCTAAGATCATTTAATTCGCCTGAATTCTCAAAGTCCTTCAGCTCAAATCATATCTCACAGAGTTCTGTTAAATCGCTAACAACGAGAGTAAGGGTTTTGCCTTAGTTACGTTCTACTACAGTATAATTTCTACGTTTCCAGGTTGAAAGAAAAAATCGGTTATTTGACAAGGGGTGTCCTCGCAAAGATATTCAAAGCTTATAAACTTTTGAATTATATCATTTCGTGTATCGCCGATTAAAAAGATTTGATACTTAAAAAAGAATCTTATATTGTAATTGATTAAACAATAAGATTTCTTTTTTGTTCTCTACCCTTGTAAATATAATTTTTTTTTCTTCTTTTTCTTTTACATCGGACACAGAAGACAGAGTTACACTGAGAAAACATGGTTTTGTTCTTATTATTTTTCTTTTTTGTCGTTTTTGTTCTTTCTCCTTTTTTTTTTTTTCTTGTTATTGTTGTTGTTGTCCATATCATTATCATCATGCCATTTACGAGTTAGAAATTTTTCAACAAAATAAATCTATCGACTTAATAATCATCATCTTATCGAAGAATCCCTAAACCCTTGAAAACGGATACTCATTTGTCACAGTTTTATTTTATTTTTTTGTTTTTTTGTTTTTATTTATTTTCTTTTAACGTTTCGCTTACGGACGACGAGAACAATGTCGACGACGTACGCGGTTAATAGATTAAAATTAAAATTATAGAAAAAAAAAAAAAAAATAAAAAAGGAAAAGAAGAAAAAACGAATCTACGTTACACAATCAGTAATTTTTTTTTTATAATAATTGGTAAATTTGATTTCTTTTTTGTTTCTCTACATCCTAAAGTACAAAACAATAAATTATAATCTACGCGCGCGCGCGCGCGCAGAAGGACACGTGTGTTTTTAGCTGTGTGTTTGTTTATATTTAAATACATTTATGCAATATTATAGTTCTTTCATAAAAAAAAAAACAAAAATTATAAACGATTCGAATCGAGGCCGAGTTGGAATGTACTAATATTCATATTTAGTGATACACACATGTAAACTGCATCCATAAATAACATATGTAAAAATGAGGAGACTCACGTACGTGGTTTTTGTTAAAAAAAAACAAATTATCAAAACTAAATTAATTTCGATATAAGTAAAAATTCTCAAATATATAAATGATTATAATATAAATGATTAAGAATTAAAATACGTTCTATCGAACGAAAATAGAGACACGATTAAAATAATATAATTATAAAAATAGTTATAATATTAATTATAATACTAATAATATTAATAATAATATTAATAATAATAATAACAACAAATAGGCAGTAAAAAGATAGTGATGCAGTTACATACTTTGTATTATACGACGCGAAGATTTTGTAATCGGTGTTGTACTTCATAATAATAATAATAACAATTAAAAAAAGGAAGTGTTGACAATCTCATAGTAATAACAATAATATAAAAGAGAAGTCAATTTATAAAAAAAGAAAAAAATTATCTAGGCAAACAATGAATACAAAATCACCAAAAATCAATGTCTACCTTGTCGTATATTTGTTCCGACATGCTCTCGATACGAATCGGATTGAAATAAACAAATAAAAAAAAAAAAAAAAWAAAAACAAAGAAAGAAAGAAAGAAAAAAAAAAAGAAAATCTTCATCGATCCTTCGACGACATAGAAATAATTCGCAATTTATTATTTATTTAAAAAGGGTTCTCTCTAAACGAGAAGGTATATAAATAATAATAAAAAAAGATTTACGAGAGAGAAATAAAAAGAAAGAAAGAAATATAAATTATGTAAGTAATTTCAATTTCGCTCGGGTTTATCATAAATATATGTAACAAATTTTTCAATATTTATGTATGGAAAGAAAAGAAGAGAGTTTAAAAAACGAAATAATAATAATAATAAGAAAAAGAAGAAGAAGAAAAAATAAAAAACCGTAAATTCTCTATTTTAATATTCTTCAATGTTGTTGTTTTAATATTGTTGGTTGCAATTGTAGCAATTGTTGTAGTATGGTGTTAACGTATAGCTCTGTTTTCTTTCTATAATTTGTTTTCCTTTCTTTTATTTTGTATAATCCCATAGTTAATCATATCTTTCTATCAAGCGTTATCTCCTTCTTTAATTTATCTTTCTTTCTCTCTCTCTCTCTCTCTCTCTCTCTTCCTATCTTTCTTTTCATCTTTCCTTTTTTTATCTCTATCACCTTTCGTTTAGAGATCGGTGTGCCCCAAAGTGCGGCACACCCTTTGTTGCTCCTAAGAATCCGAGGATGTCTCCAGCATCTCCATTAGGAAGTCGTCGATTGGTACATCACCGATCAGCTTGTAGAAGAAGAGATGTTCGAGACATTTGAGGCCGATCGAACGAATGGACGGTAAGCGAAGTAATAACTTAGCGAATCTTCCTGAATCGTTCGGACAAGATACACGTGTATATTCTTCTAGTGCTGCGTAAATCTTCTCACGTAGAAGACCGACCTCTTGGATGGATTTTAGACCTCGTACATCAGGATTGAACAGGATTATTGATCTATTGGAATATTAGAAAAAGAAAAAAACAAAAGAGTAAAGAAAAATCTTAAAATTAATATAAATTATAGTGTAATAACAATATTTGTGTGATACGAGGGGATTGGTTCAAATTTTGATTGCGCACAAATTGTGCTTTTTTTTGTTAGGATGGATAGTGTGTGTTATAAAAAGATTGAGCGTATAATATAATATATAATACAATAATAATATAATAATATTATAATAAAAAACTAGTGTGTGTACTTATGTATGCACATAAGAAGCTATACTTCTTTAGCGTACCAATATAACCTCAATAACCTCAAAAATAACTTCAATATGCCTGCGCATCGTAAATATCGACAACTTCGTGGTGTCGATTTTTCGGTCGCATCTAACTTCACTTTCCAAAACGCGCCAAAAGAAGTATAACTTCAATATTATAATAAAAAAACTGGTGTGTGTACTTATGTACGCACGTAAGAAGTTATACTTCTTTAGCGTACCAATATAACTTCAATAACCTCAAAAATAACTTCAATATTGCCCGCGCATCGTAAATATCGACAACTTCGTGGTGTCGATTTTTCGGTCGCATCTAACTTCACTTTCCAAAACGCGCCAAAAGAAATATAACTTCAATATTATAATAAAAAAACTGGTGTGTGTACTTATGTACGCACGTAAGAAGTTATACTTCTTTTGCGTACCAATATAACCTTAATAACCTCAAAAATAACTTCAATATGCCCGCGCATCGTAAATATCGACAACTTCGTGGTGTCGATTTTTCGGTCGCATCTAACTTCACTTTCCACAAAACGCGCCAAAAGAAGTATAACTTCAATAAAGTATCATTATATCTCAAATATAAATTGGAATATATTCATGAAATTATATTCTAATAATATTTTCTATAATTTTTGTTTGTTTTTTTCTATATATAGATTGGGATTAAATAGTGACTGACCTGAGACAACCTAATTCAGTTTTGTCCATCTTCATATCTCGCATCTTGGTTACAAGTTCGGATAGGACGTGATCAAATATCGTGCCTACGCCAGCCTGTTGCGCCGAACTACGGTAGATGGTAATACCAGTTGCCAAAACAATACCATCCTTGATACCAATGGAACGATGAGAAAAGGATGCTATCAGCAACTCGTTCCAGCCACCCCTTAGTAATAGCACTTGATCCTCCAACGGTAACGAGGTAAAATGTGGGATGTGTTTAGCCCATGCCACCAGCTGGAACAGCTGTTTGTTCGTAGCGTTGCGAATGTGCGATATTGCATTCTGTGTATCAACACAGGATGGCGGATTAATTTATAGGATGGGAAAGAAAATAAAAGAAAAAAAAATTAAAAAAAATTAAAAAAAAAAAGGTCAAGAGATAGAAGGATATATATGGGATAGATGATGGATAGATAAATTGATAGATGGATTATCATTTTATTACTGGCTTAAATTCCTGAAGATGCAATTACGTACAACTATGGTAAAAGATGTTAATTACAAGTGCCAATTTATTGGATTAGAGCATGCAAGTATTTTGTTTTCTTTAAATATAAATAAAAGAAAGAATAATAATAAATAAGGAAAATAAATTTGTAAAGTAGAATTGGATTATCAAATTTCAATCTATTGATTTTAAAAAAGAATAAAGAAAGAATGGTTATAACTATGGTCAGAACATATATAAATTGTAATAAATGACTAAATCATTAGATTGAAATTTAGGTTCTAAAAATGTTGAGGAATAATAACTATTTATAAGAATAACACACACACACACACACACACACACACACACACATGGAATATAAGCATTGTATAAACGACGGACGATGTAGTAGTATAAACGTGGATGAAAATGAAATTGAAATAACTTTACCTCGTAATTTCCATCATGCTCGACCTTGCATTCAACTCTCTTCTCAGCTTCTAAAATACGTTCGATCGGCATATCAGCATGAAGACTGCTTGTACTCTCAACCTCGCTTTGATCTCGTTCCTTGGTACGTTGTCGTTCCTCTTGTACAGCTTCTCGTTTCATTCCCATGGCCAAACATTTTTGATATCGACAATATTGGCAACGATTTCTTTGTCTTTTGTCGATTATGCAAGATTTTTCTTCGCGGCACGCGTACGAGAGATCCTTGCGTACGGTCCTTTTGAAGAATCCTTTGCATCCCTCGCAGCTGAAAATTTATTATTATTATTATTTCTCTTTTGTTATATATATTTTTTAATAATATTTATTTATATTTGTTTTCTTTTTTATTCGTTTGAGCTTTCAACCATTCGTTATTTTTAAATGTCAGAACTTTCCAATATCCATTATCTGTTTTGTTTTTGAAATATTCCGTGTAAAACGTGATTAGTTAATTAATTTTAATTAATGAAAGTTTTGTTCACTCGTAGCACTGGACTAATCTGTTCTTTTGAAATTTCAGAATTTCCATATAATCTTCTTATTTTATTTTATTTTTATTTTTATTTTTATTTCTTGTTCACACGTAAATATTATATTTGTTCGATCTAATCGATTAGTTATAATTAATTAAACTTTTGTTTATAAAAAACTTCGAACCGTGGTGATTTATACTCGGCAAGATTGATATTTAAATTTACGACAATCTGCTTTGCTTATAACTTTAAATCAATCTATTGCTTTTGAAAATGTTAGAATATTTCATAGATTTTTTTTTATTTTCATCTCTACACATTTTATGTTATAGATTAATACTTTAATATAAACATTTTTCATTCAAACTTTCAATCAATTTTTAGAAATATTACAACATCCATCATTTCTTTCTTACACTTTTCCTTTTTTTTTTTCTTATAGACAATTAACTACAAACTGTTTCTCTCTCTCTCTCTCTCTCTTTTTCTCTTTCATGAATCACGTTTACTTAGTTTTTGAATTTGGATTATATCCAAAAGATCCCGACACTTAGACTCTGCCAGGAAAACAAAACGAACATTCCACGAAATGAATTTATTTTGGTTACAGCTACACTAGAGCTTCTCATATGTTATTACTTTTCAAGAGCAGATCTATTAATTATGATTTTCTTATTATTTTCTATTAATCTTTCTTTCCTCTCCCCTATATATACATACATATACATACACACACACACATATATATATATATGCATACATATTTTTTTGAGTAGAGATATTCACGTCAAAGATAATCATTATCGGATACAACGTAGCGTAACATAACTTACATCAATGTAACAACTACGAGGACGGATGGAAATCGAGCATAGAGAAGTCAACAGAGAAAAAGAGAAAGAGAGAGAGAGAGAGAGAGAGAAAATATAGCGTGCAAGGGAGAGGAACCTTGGTAATGGCCGTGATTACTTAATTAGCTGCCACTGGAGTAAAGTGCCTATAGGACCATGAGAGACGGATATATCGCCATCTCTTTCACTCACATACATACACACACACTATATACTCAAAACGCACGTGCACACACATATATGCATATATGAGATATACACGTGTATACAGATTGCTTATAAAACCATGAGAATCATATCGGTATCTCTCTCTTTCATAAACACACGCATATACTTACATACGTACATAAACATATGTATACATGTATAAACTTACATATAAATGTGTGGAATAGATATATATCTATGTATGTATGTTACTTATAGGATCAGGAGAGACGTGCACATATCGGCATCTTTCTTTCTTTCTTTCTCTCTCTCTCTCTTTCTCTTTCGTATACACACATTTATATGTATGTATATATGTAGGTGTAGGATATAGATATATGTATATATATATGTATATATTGCAATCATAGCACATAGGAACTACGGCTGGGTAACCGTCCTAGCCTCGTGAGCGAGCTTGTGCAACGCACGATACAAGTCCAAGGTTAACTTAGATCTGATGCAACGCGAGAAGAACGACGACCATTGTCGAGTTATGAGAGAGAATTTGAAAATAAATGATCTCTCCTTTATTATTATTAATAACTATATTTATGTTTTTACTTACATCATAAGAGAAAGAAGGATGAGAGCATAATGATAATTTTTTGATTGTTTTTTTGTTTGTTCTGAATTGTGAAAAAGTTTGTAATATAAATTTGAGTATCCCTTGAAATTGAAAAGAAAGTAAACGAAATTTGCGTTGTTATATTAACAATCGATATTTTTTCTCGTCTCCGAAGTTTTAAATAACAAAATTTAGTGTGTGTGTTTTTTTTTATATACGTTTACACGATCAAAGATTGTTGCTTAGATTCGAACTTTTTTTTATTTGTATATGTATTCTTTTTGTTTTTACTATCTCACAAAGTGAGTTTAGTGATAGAAAAAAGATAAAACGAAATAAAGAGAGAGAAGGAGAAAGAGAGGATGCTTTTGATGTTTCAGAAGAAGTGCAAAGTGCTTGCACAGATGGCATAAACTTACTTATAGTATACTATTTCCACATGTAAGCAAACTTGTATAGTCACGTGTGAGATGAAGAACCAACGATATATTATATATAAAAAGTATAACACATACACACACACATATATATATATGTGTATATATATATGAAATTCTTTTCGAGATATCTTATCAGTTCTTTTTTCTTTCTCTGTCGCACGATCGTGTATTAACCTTTTTCAAAGTTCTTATTTTAACTATAGGGTGTCCTATAACTGATGATACAAGCTAACAACAAAAGGAGTGATTCTACATGAAATATTAATTGTATGCCGAAAATGTAGAATTAAATTCGTTCGTATAAGGGTTACGATTAATTTTAGAAAAAAATAAATTTGTGCATTTGTCGAGTTGCAATTCTGAAAATTAAATGCACTTGTTTAACCTTGATAAACATAAGAGTAGTATACCGACATTATTTACAAATATGTTAAAAAGTACTCGTGTAAAAATAAAACCATGTACGAACAAATTTTATTTGTTATTTGTAGATTATCGATTTTAATTTTTTTACGTAGAATTATTTGTACAACCAATTACAGGACACCCTGTATATAAAATCCATTTCTACTGTATGTGATTATTAATCCTTGTCATGTAAAATAATTATATGCGATTACTTATAGTATTTTTTATTTACTTCTTTTTTAAACGATTTTTTTCTGTTTCACCGCATTTTTTTCTTTTTCTGACGTTAAAAAAGCTGCTAGCTCGTATAAAATCGTTAATTTAATTAATTATGAGAACACAATCAGTATACCCGAGTCAAAGTTCATTGCCAAAGTCTTCATTACGGGGACTAGAAAATGATTGTTCGATCGATCGAACATAATCGCTAATTTTTATAATATTATTTTAATAATACACAGTAGATATTTGTTTTAAATAACAAGAAAGCTGTTATTGAGAATTTTATTTAAATTCATTCGTTACTTTGTTTCTTTTGGGATCATAAAGTCATAACAATATATTATAGTTTAATCTATTTTTTTTTTTTAATTTAATAATGTATATTGGATGGATCAAAAGTTTTTAAAAGTAATTTAAATAATTAATTACTTCTTTCTAACACAAAATCTTTAAAAATTATTAATTAGATTAACAATGTTATAAACAATGTTTGCAGTTTAATTAATTGAAAAAAAGAATGATGTGTTGAGATGATTTGTAACAAAGTAATCAATTTTTAACATCACCTAAGAACTTTTGATCCACCTTGTATATTGTGTATATACGTATATATGTGTTTCTTGATAACCAGCCATTTTCCTTCCTGATAATTCTATCTCGATGCTGCTTTCACAATACATCCATATATATTCTTTCGCATTCCATCTTTATTCCATGCGAATTTTTCTTACTTTATTACTCGGCACAAACGCGCGTGCAAGTACATTTTTCTGCATTGTAAAAGTGCATCCTTGTTCATAAATTATTCTAATATCTATTTCAAGAAACACACACTCGTTCATTTCTTTTCTAAGATATAAAATAATACTTTCAATAATAATTTTCTCAATTATTGCAATTAAAATTCACGCGTGTTATATATAATTATAATCAAATATAATAAATAATAATAATAATAATAAAAATACTATCGAATATATGTTTTTTCAAATAAAAATTTATAAATGATATACAATTTTTATTTTATTAAATGATAAGTTCTACACAAGTATTGATTTAAAATTGATATTAAACAATTGTAAATTTGTCGATTATCAATGAACTTTATTTCAAAGTAATTTGTATAATAATATTGAATTTATATTATAATATAATTATAAAAATGTCGGAATTTAAATGTAACGATTATTTTCTATTTTTCGATTATTAAATATTACGTAAAAAAAAAAGAAATAAAGACACATAGTAATAATAATAAAAATTAAAAATTAAAAATTCAAATTAATATAATCGATATAATTAAATGTATATATAAAATTTTTACCTGTAAACACCATAATGTTTGCCACTAGCTCGATCACCACAAATCGAACAAAGATGTTTGCTCCCTGACAGAGGGTGATTAGGTGGGTATGGTGTAACCGCTTTATTCTGTCCACTTGGCGAGGTACTCAAAAGGTTGCTGTGACAACCAGCAGCGTTGAAGGATCTTTTACATGTAAAGAAGAGAATAACAAAAATATCTACGGGTATCGTTACGACCCTGGATAATGAATAAGAGACCCATAATATACATTTTTTTTCTTATTTTTTAATCATTTTATTCATTTGGAAATATCAAATATCAAAATCCACCCAAACACCCAAGTTGTTACAAAAACATTCAAGTTCGTAACGACCTACTATAAAAACGTACTAAAATTCAACTAAAAATGACAAATTTGTTAAACTTTCTTTTATATAATCTTTTTGTTATTCCTAATTTTATTTTATTCTTTTTATTATCAGACTTACCCTGGACTGTTAGGACCTGAAGGGCTGAAGTTTCCTGGATTTATTAGACTAGCCGTATCGGGTTTGATGTCCAGTGGACTCTGTGGACCTACTGATGACATCGACATGTTGCTATTATCCAGGCTTAACCCTGAAAAAATTAAGATAAGTACTTTATATATATATATATTATACAAAACTATTATCATATCAAGTTATTATCATTATTATCTTTTATGTATGACAAAATACGATGTATCTTTGGTGTTGTTATAAATAATCAATAAATAATACAAAAATAGGAAACTATCTGGATGTTATAAAAGACAATTTACAGTTACAGGAAGAAGAATAACATGTTGTTAAATGTGAAACGTGATGGAGAAGTATCTTCAACTAAACAACGTTCACGTGCTGGATCATCGTTGTCTATTGATCGATCGATCAATCGATCTTTCTTTATTTCATTCTTATTTTTCTTGCTTGCTTGTTTGCTTGCTTGCTTGGTTGCTTGGTTGCTTGCTTGCTTGGTCGTTGTTGTTGGTACCTTTCCTACGTAGTTGGAGAAAGCCAAGAGGAGGACTCGCTTCAAGGCCAACGAACATACACGCCATCGAAAGGGACGATCGTTGATTCTCGATCAGCACGTTCAGAGAAAGGAGAACGTATGCAAACCGATTTTATGGCAGGTGCATGCATCGAAGAAGACTATCTTCCCATCGAAAACTCTAAAGGGTATTTTAACCTATACTCGAATATAATCTATCATGTTATTTCTCTCTTATATATATGAAAATATTTTATTTAATATTTTTTATTTACCTTATTTTTCATTTTATTTTCAAATTATTGAGACTACTAATTTTAGTAGTTATATTTAATAATAAAATCAAAATAGGGAAAGAGCTTATTTTTTTTTCTTTTTTGTAAACTAATTTTAATTAAGATTGCAAATTTACAAATTTAATTAATAATCTTATAAGTGAAAATTTTTTTTCTCAGATATATAAAGTATAGAATTATTATATTATGTTGTACAAGTTGGGTGAAAAGTTTTTCATTGTAGGTGTGTTGGTATTAAAAAATTTCGTAATATGTTTCAAAAGTCTCGTAGATGAAAAAAAAAACAAGAGTAATTAGAAATTTTGTACAAATAATTTAGAAAAACTTTTACGCTTGTATATAATTATTATATTAATCTATTGTGCTTTTTTTGTTGTTAGAGGAAGATCATATTGTGTACCATCTGCCAGTGAAATTCAGAGAAAAAAGAAAAAAAAGAAAAAGAACAAAAGGAAATTGGAAGTAATGGTCAGTGAAGAAAGTTTTGCATATGCTATCCATAAGGCATAATGATGAGCAAGTTTCGTGAGCTTGCGAAAAGACGAGGGTATTCATTATAAAACCTTTCCCCCTCCCCTCTCCTCACCCTTCTTCCTTTTCCTTCTCTACTTCTGCTATTTTTAAGCCGAAGGACAACGAGGATCAATGCACTTGCTTGCATATTATTTTTTTTCTCTCATTGTTTTTATTTCCTTACCTTTCGCATTTGTCGAAGTAAAAATCGTGTCTAAAAACATTCATTCATTAGTCGAATCATTTTGCACCAATCGATTACGTTTTACAAAATTTTCTTTTATTAAATATATGGCAGATTAAAACACACAAAAATACAAAGAGAAAAATCAATTGTCATTATTTTATATCAAACTTATTATATATTATCTTATATATGAATTATTACATTTCAATCAAATCGTTTCGAGAGATTCTTATCTATTTAATTGGTAAATTATTTTACAAATTTATAAAAAAAGAAAAAAATAGTCTGACAAAAAAATGACATTCAAAATTTCATCATTCTGATCAAAGTCTATTGCATCTTACAATTTAAAGTGGTTGATAACCAAATTGATAATTAAGGAAATGAAATGAAATGAAATTGTTCAAATGAAAAATTTTGAATCTACGAAGGAAGAAAAGAAAAATAATAATAATAACAATAATAAATAATAAAAGAGGAATATAATGATGGTAACAAAGAAGATTAATGACATTTTAATTGAACTAATGTAAGACAAAAACGAGACCGTAGTCGATGAGAAGAGACAGTGTCATCGACGTGGATGATAACCGAGAAAAAGACACACTACGGGGTGTAAATTAAAAAAGAAAAAAGAAAAAAGAAAAAAAGGAAATGAAATAAAGTAATAAAATGAGAAAGAGAGAGAGAGAGAGAGAGAGAAAATGAGATGAATCAATGTAGAAGAGGGAACGCATTAATACTAGTTGTTGTTGAAGAGGACACGTCAAGTGCATCGGTAATTCCACTGACTGACGTCAGATATTTTTTTCCTCTTTTTCTCTCTCTCCCTCTTCCTGTTTTTAATTCACTTGAGAGTTATGTCTTTGCTCACTTTGTGAAGTGATCGAAAGAGGGTTGGTGGGTGGTTGGTTGGTAGATAGTGGAAGTAAACGTAGACTCGAAGATAACACCTTTATCGTGATTCAATCTTAAATTTACATGTTTGAAAAAAAAAAAAATGATGTTACGTCAATGGAAATAAATATCTGTCCTTTGTATGCGATTAAAAAAAAAAAAAAAACCGGAAAAATGAACGAGAAGATACCGTCGATATCGGTATCGAAATTATTTTGATCGTCGTAACAAAAAATGATAGAAAATTAGTTCAATATTTTGTTCCCTTTACAATTAATTTTCGTATAAGATGTCAATCGTTTGTTGGACAAAAATTTATTTAACAACGTCTATACTAATGTGGAAAAAAGGAAAAAAAAAAAAAGAAAAGCTTCATATTGAAATATTTAAATAAATATTTCATAAAAGTTTTGATCCATTCGGTAACGAACGAATTGTTTCTAATAAAACAAATTTATTTTTGTTATTTTGTTAACGAAAACTATAAACGACGAACGGACAATATATTATTATGTTCATTATTTCTTTGGAAAATTGTCTAAAATTATTACATGGTCAAATAATTTAAATCGATAGTGCATAACGCGGGTTGATAATAGACGATAACGAACAATAATAATAATAATAAGTAAATTAAATCGCGACAAATTTATTTTCGCATAACAAACATAAACAATAATTAATATTAGAGAAAAAATATTATAATTAAAATATAATTAAAACACAGATTAAAATCGTACGAAGTGATAATAAATTACTAATAGAGAATCGAGTTATTTCAAATGTAATTTAATATCTAATGAAAACAATGCGCATTAGTATATAATTATTATCACGTATGAATATTAACGAGGATGCACACCTATTAGAATTATAATACACAAGTATTATGACGCACATGATCGAATAACATAACATTACGACGAACCACGCATTTGTCCTGCGCGTGCGTGTGTTAAAAAAAAAAAAAAGAAAAAAAAACCAAGAAAAGAAAGAAATAGAAAAAAAAAGAGGAAAGAAAGAAGAAAGAACAAAAAAAGAAAAGGTTGAATATTTTCTTACGTTAGCCGATTAGATTTGTATCGAGGTCGTAACTCTCTCTCTCTCTCTCTCTCTTTCTCTCTCTCTCTCTCTCATGGCAAACGTACGTACGTACGTAGTTGTTATTGTCTATTTCGAGTCCGTCGTGTTGCTCGATGCATGTCTCTCGTCACTGTCATTTATTAAAGCGCCAAGCAAGCCATTGCTTGCTTTAATTACGCAACGAGTTCGCAAAGCGACGATGGAAGGTCGTCGACAGCCAACCCACGATGACGAACAACGTACGACGAATGACGATTCAATTTTGCAAACGACTTCAAAATCTTTCTTATATGTGTAAAATCAATCTAATTAGAGAAAAAGAAAAAAAGAGAGAGATAGAGAGAGAGAGAGAGAGAGAGAGAAAGTTGAAGATTGTTGATTATTACCCAGGGGGTGAAGGAAGGGAGGGGGTAAAAGAAAAGATCATTGATTCGTGATTAATTAATGTTACTCTTCCATTTCATTTCATTTCAATTTGTTTTTCTTCGACGAGAATTGTCATTAAATAATAGGTAATTTGAAAGTGAAAAATGATCATCATCAACGCGTCTATTTCAAGCTCGAGTCGTTATATAATTTCGATCAATGACTTTCGTTTCATTCGTTGGATTTATTTATTTACTCTTTTTGTTTGCTTTTTTTTTCTTTTTTAAGTACGAATGGTAGAAGGAATATAATTATTTACGAGTGGTATTAGTCTAGGGTTTATAACTTTAATGTTCATTTTTGTGAATAGATTTCTAATAATTTAGAATATTTCTTCTTCTTCCTGATTTTATTAGGACTTTGTACTGTTATAATAGCTTTTTTTTTATTGCTATTTCTAGGAACGAGTTATTGAATATTTCATTATATTTAAATATAAGTTATTATAAATAGTAACTTATATTATTACTATAGTATATAAGAGTGTAATAATTATTCTCTTATAGATTAATATTTCGAACATACTTTAAGCTGATCACGTGAATCGTGACATTTTTATATAATTTTTTTATTTCACGGTAACATATACATATCAAGAAATAAAATATCAAGCAACAGTATAATTCGTTTCACATAATTTCACTCGTTATCAGTAAACTCTCTCTTTTTACCATCGAAGCTCGCGAATGCTATTCGTTTCGTCGGATACAGACCATAAATGCGACTTTGTGAGAATGCATTAGAGTAAACGAGAAAGAGAAACAGAATGTGTGAGTGAGGTGGTAGCTCGGAAGAGGACGAGGACGAGGACGAGGACGAGGACGAGAACTGGGCGGGAGTATCTACAAGGCCAAACCCGGGTGACGTTACACACTATGAAAACTATACATATATATATATATGTATATATGTGAAAAGTAGTGGTCGGGCACCTTGACCAGACGCAAACAGGCCGGTGCAACGTTCGAAAACTTGCCTACGTCTTCTAACAGGATGTATCATCATCCATATCGCATAAATTGTCCGTTAAAATTTCGTCGAGACAACAACCACATGATTTTTATTGTGAATTATTTATTAGATAATATATTTTTAAACTTTCTCTCTCTCTTTCTCTCTTTCTCTCTTTCTAAAATATCATGTATTTGTATACCGAATTATATCTGTATTTTGTATATCAATTTTGTTCCATTCTTATTTAT